TCTGAGGGATGCAAGGATGGTACAATATTTCCAAATCAATAAATGTAATACATCACATAAAACAAAAGACAAAAATCACATGATCATAGCAATAGATGTGGAAAAAGCATTTGATAAGGTACAGTATCTATTTATGATTAAAACACTCAGTAAAGTTGGAATAGAGGGAGGGCCTTCAATATAATAAAGGCCATATATGAGAAAACCTACAGCCAACATCATGCTCAATGATGAACTCAAAAATGAGCTAAAAAACTTAGAGCTTTTGCCCTAAGATCAAGAATAAGACAAGGATGCCCGTTTTCAACATTCATATTCAACATAGTATTGGAAGTCTTAACCACAGCAATCAAACAAGAAAAGGAAATAAAAGGCATCCAAATCGGAAAGGAGGAAGCCAAACTGGCATGGCTTGTAGATGACATGATAGTTGACATAGAAAACCCTATAGACTCCACCAAAAAACTGCTAGATCTAATAAGTGAATTTGGCAAAACAGTGGGATACAAAGTCAATATTCAGAAATCAAAGACATTTTTGTACACCAACAATGAAACATCAGAAACAGAAATCAGGAAAAAAATCTCATTTGATATAGCAACAAGAAAAATAAAGTACCTAGGAATAAATGTAACCAAGGATGTAAAAAACCTGTACTCAGAAAACTACACAACACTGAAGAAAGGAATTAAGGAAGGCACAGACAAATAAAAGCATGTACCATGTTCATAGATTGGAATAATTAATATCAAAATGTCCATACTACCGAGAACAATTTATAGACTCATTGCAATCCCTATCAAAGTACCAATGGCCTATTTCATAGATATAGAAGAAACATTTCAGAAATTTATATGGAACCACAAATGACCTGAATAGCTTTCTCTTTGAGAAAGAAGAACAAAGTAGGAGGGATCACAATACCTGATATCAAACTGTATTAAAATTATGATTTCTTTAGACAGATTGTTGGTATGCTCTGTGGTGTTTCCTGTCCCTCTTGTTTCTCTTCCTTGTCCATACAAGTGAGGTACATGTCAAAGAATCATTGGAGAACTCGATAGGTATCCCCCAGAATTTGGAAGTATCTAGGTTCTAGGTACCTCATGCCTGGAAAAATGTTTAAAGGTGTGTAAGGTATCAGGAAGCTGGCCATGAATCAACTCTGTCTGGGGAAGTAGCTCTCTTCAAGGTAATAGAGGGGTGTCAATTTCAGCTCTCTATCTGTTATGGGCCCAAATATTCTCTCCTCTCTTTGCCAAAGCAGTACTACCTTAGTCTTAGCCATATGGTCAGTTTGGGGCTCTAATAACCACATCTTTTCAGGACCATCACAGAAACAGTTTGTGTTTCCTACTATTTCTTTTCCCAGCCCACTTTTCATTTCTGGCTCCTGGTAATTAGCTAGTTACTTTATTCAGAATTTCTAGGAATTTTTAGTGAGAGGCTTTTAAGTTATTTTAGCCTGGTACCTTGTGAGAACTAGATGTTTATTTAAACTTATTTAGTGTTTGCTTCCCATATTGTATAGTAAACTCCTTGCAGGTAGATAATAATTCTCATTTCTGCTTTATGTCTAGCTCTAAGCACAGAGCCTGGTACATAATGAACACTGAGTAAATATCTGTTGAACAAGTGAGTGACTTTCACATGCAGGAAGATTTCAGTAGTAAAGAAGGGTAGGTATAATTATGTCTACAAAAATGACATCCCAGTGAAGACAGTTAAAGGAAAGCTAGAAAGCTGGGAGCCTGTATTATTTCAACTATTCTACAACTGACTCACCTAAGCTTAACAGTTTTGCCACATTTTTTCTATTTCTAAACTTCAAAAAACTCCCACTTCACTCCTGTCCTCTTTTAAAAATCAAATTTATTTAGGTGTCATTTGCATATAATAAAGTATACTCTTAATAAGTGTATGTTCGGATGAGCTTTGACAAACTTATATATCAATGTAACCACTACCACAGTCAAGATGGAGAGCATTCCCATCACTGCAAGAAGTTTTTCCTCCCAGGTGATCCCTTGAACTCTTGGCCCCAAGTAATCACTGATTTGTTTTCTGTCCCTAGAGGTTAGATTTACTGTTTTCTAGAATGTCACATAAATGAAAATATATGGTATGTGTTTTTCAGTGTCTGGCTTCTACTCACTGTAATGTTTTTGAGTTTCATCCATGTTGTTATAAGTATCAATTTATTGTCACACCCTTCTTTCTGAAATAAGAATTTCTCCTGTTTCTAAAGGAGTGCTTTTGCTTCTTTCCTTCTCTAACATTCTCTGTTGTTCTTCCCTTTCTCAATTCTTTAATTTCCAATAAAATATCAGATGTTGTGATTAAGTTGCTGATACCTTCCACAGGTGCTATAATCCAAGATGTCTGTGAAGAGCTGTAATATCACAAGGATGTCATCTTCGCCTAGACTTATTCCTAAGTGGAAGGACTTGGAATTCCTCATAAATAATATCCTGCAGGATATAAAGGTGATGTGTATGAAAGATATGCACATGGTGGTGTGGACTAATTATCTACTGCCAAGGCCTGCTGTGGCATGGGAAACATGTGCACAGCTTTGGAAGGGCCCTCCCACATCTCTAAACAACTCCCCCTTTTAGATTATGATGACAACATTAGTTACATACATTGTGTTATAAATACAGCAAATGGGCTTACCTGGATTAAACAAGCAGAAAACATCTTTGTCTCAAGACCCATGTTCTTTTTCTGTCTTTTCCACAATTTTTAATATTTTAGCTTATTATCTTAAGGTTACAAGATAGTTGCTGTGCTTTCAGATATCAGCTTTAAATTGCAAGTAGGTAGAAGAAAGTCAGAGAGCACAGGGGTATGCCAGCCTTGGAGGACCGTCGTGCCACTCTTGTGTTGCCAGAATTTTGAGGCTCATGTTAAAAGAAGATCAGAGTTTTGTTGGGTTAGAGGAAGGGGCAAGAAGAAGGAAAAGAAATTTATATGGAGCAGGCAACCCCAGCAATAGTGCCAGGCACAGATATATGGCTTGGGTTCAAGATATTCTTAGTCTTTTTCAAGAGTGCGCTATAGAAAAGTATTGATATTGTTGAATGACTGGACAAATTGTTTATATATAAAGTCTGGAAAGGAGAAAAGGAATGAGGATTAACAATGGAATAAGGGGTATGTAAATAAGCTTTCTAATTCAATGAAGAAGGATAGTGGATTAGGAGCTCAGACACCAGTGTCCCTTCTCTCAACTCCACTGTGGTCACTGAATCAGCAATAACAGTGGATTATAGAAGCTCTCTAGCACTCTGTATTCTCTAAGAATACAGAAAGATCTGAAAGTGACAACTATAGGGAGAAGATGCATTCTGGGTTGTAAATATTGGCATCAGTATAGTCTCAAATCCTTTTGTATGCAGGAAGCAGGCATAATGAACATTTTGAAATTTTAAAAGAGATTTTATTTATATTTTTCAAGAGAGGAGAAGGGAGGGAGAAAGAAGGAGAGAAACATTGATGTGCTAGAGAAACATCAATAGGTTGCTTCTGCATACCCTGAACTGGGGACCTGGCCCATAACCCAGGCATGTGCCCTGACTGGGAATCAAACCAGCAACCTTTCAGTTCACAGGCTGGTCTCAATCCAAGAATAGTGATGGTGGGGCAAGCCACAACGTCTAGCTGTCATACTTGGTGGACATTTTATATCTGTGAAGTATGAGTTTCTCATAGACAGTATATCATGAGTGTGATTATGATGGAAGTGGTCCTTTGGGTGTAGGCAGGAGCTTTGAAGAATTATTTCAAGTGTGACAAGTAGAGATGTTTGACAAAGTTGAGTTCCTTAGTTGTACTCATACATGTATCTCTTTCTTTTGATGCCCTTGTTTTGTCCAATAATTTGTTAGTTTTTTTCTTTAACATATGTTCCCCTCTTCCCCCACTGGACTCATCTTTTGAGAGCTAAGGCCATGTCTCTTTTGCTTAGCATTGCATCCCATGTCTGTGGTAAAACATACCAGCCTTTCTCAAGTGTGGTTCCTCATAGAACCACTGAACACAGAAAATTATTTGAGGGGCTATTTTTACAGTTCTCTTAAAGATGGCACACAACTAGTAGCAGTCTAGGGAGTAGCATAGGGGAGAATTAATTCATTGTGTAGAATGGATACTTTAGGTTTAGAACATTAGGGCTTACTTCTCTTATGGAACCTTGGTTGAGAAATGCTGGAAGTACTTTGCTTAATTAGGATGTATTATGAGTAAGGGATGACTCCCCCAAATAGTGCCTTCCAGAAGTAGGGTGGGTAAATGTCAGTTAGCTAAAAAACAGCAAATGTCCATTAATCTATCAGTAATTTTTAAGTGAAAGAGTGGGTACTCAGGCTACTTTTCATTCTCAGGTTGATGGAAGACGAAAAAATGATACAGTTGTACTGAGTGACTGGCCTGAGACTCTGTACCAGGAGCCTCACCATCCCCGGAACAAGCCTTTCATTTGCTTCTACTCCATCAATGTCAACTATTTTGTCTCCTTAAACTGGATGGAACCATATTCAAAACAATCGCAGGTAAAGCTATCTCATCTTTCCTACTCCCTCCTTTTTAATCCATTTTATGTGCATTATACCTAAACTGTCCTGGTCTCAGAGTGGATTATGAGGGTGATTCTGAGTTAGTTCATACCTTCCCCATATCCCAAATTGACCTGGATGTAGTGATCCCTGCTTACCTCTAGTCATCAGGTCCACAGAATTCATTTTTCTCATAAAGAAGACTAAAGGACAAGGAAAGGGCCTTAGGCATGGTGCTTCTATCACACACCTAACTCCTAGTACCAGGAAACTCCCAAAGTCAAGCTGTCTACGCTTTCCTTAGTCCCACAGGAGGGAACAGTGATCCAGACATTCAACCTTTTTCTACCCCTTGCTTGTGGGAGATAATCTGCCTCCATGGTCAGGCTTTCATCTCTCATCCTCTTCTAGGCAATACTTTGGATACAGAAAAAAAATACGGAAATGGAAGGAATGATAGAGAAGATAAAGTTTCACATAACGGATCAATTGCCACCTATTCAAGCAATGGTCCACACAGATTCCCACCGCATGTTAATTGCCTACTGTGGTGACATGCGCCTGTGGCTCTTCAGAGATCACCATCAAGCATTCGCATATCTGGGTACAGTGCCCTGTCGATTCTCTGTCAGCTGCCTCTGCTACCACTCAAGAACTGAGATACTGCTTTCTGGTACCTTGGGGGCTGTGGTTACCTGGTTTATATTACCAAACGGCAGGGGCCTCCAGATGGCACAAACGGTGCCCATGCTTGGTCATGAGCTTGTACAGGGTTTTTCCCTGAATGGCCCCCAGGGCTCCCTGCTGGCCCTTTGTGAGAATAAGGTGCGAGTCTTCACAGACCAAGGTCAGGGCCAGCTGAAAGAGGTAAAGAACTTTACTCCCATAGCCAGTGGCTCCTCCATCACCTGCTCCTTTGCTTGTGTCTCTCAGGGATATTTCTATGCTGGAAACAGAGATGGAGAGATCCATGCTTGGGGTCTAGACCGGGGTAATTTCCTCCACAGCTTCCAGGCCCATTCCTCATCAGTGATATGTGTCCATAGCCGTCCAGAGACCCACACCTTACTAACTGCAGGCAGTGAAGGTGTGGTAAGGGAATGGAATCTTGCTTTTGGGAACTTGCTGCGGCAGCTGAATATTGATGAAGATCTGCAGCAATTGCAGTTTATTGATAACAACACTTTTTTCTGCCAGACTACCAACACTTTCTTGTTGTACAACCTACCCTGTTTTTATAGCCTTTTCAATGTCTGCGGCTCTGCTCTCCAGCAAGTGCAGCGGGTCTGCTGTGGCCGTAATTGGACTCGGATTGTATGTGCCACGAAGGATGGTTTGGTGCGCTTCTTGTCTCCAGTAACAGGACAGCTCCTTGTTATCACCTGGCCTCTACTTGTCACAGATAAGGCTTTGGTTTGGGCCTATGACTCAGACAGAGAGGAACTCTTTGTGGCAACAGACAGTTCAGAAGTTCTGGTGTTTGATGCAACACGCTCTCCTTGCACAGCCAAGTATCTTGTGTGTACTTCAGTAACCCGTGGGGATAGGGTAAGATGCCTCACCTATGCGCAGTCCCATTTGCGTAAGGGCCTAGTAGGATTGATGTTCTGTGGACATGAAAGTGGCATTGTGAGAATTCTCTCCTATTATAGTTGTGCCCGGATAGAGAAGACTGTTCACTCTGGGGCAGTATTAGCATTGTCAACCCTGGAAGGACCCCAGAAAAAACCCTTGCTTTGTTCCTATGGCATGGATAACACTATTCAGCTGACAGAATCTGTACTTCAGGAAAACAAGGTAATTCTACAGCCTGTCAGCAAAATTCTCTGTAGTTGTCCCCTAAAACATGTAATACTCTTGCCAGGTTCTGTGGGTGCCATCACTGAGAACCACTGCTGGTGCCTCTGGCACTATGAAGATTTTGTGACATCTTCAGAATCAAAACAAAGCTCTATGTCTAAAGAGACAAAATGCCTGCACCAGTGTGCTATTACTTCATTCGATGTCTGCCTTTCCCTGAAACTTTTTGTCACAGGGGGCATTGATGGTTCAGTTCGAATCTGGGACTTCCATGGCAGACTCATAACTAAGTTGGACTCGGCATTGCATTTTGGCCCACTGTGCTTTGCTAATAATCGGGGTGATCTGCTTTTGGCTTTCAATCAGAGTCTTTATCTGGTCTCCTGTTTAAAATTGCTCCCTCCAGCTCAGCTTATTCACCTAGCTGTCCTAAACAATGCAGATGAAATACAGGAAGTCCCTAAACCCTTCCTGCCTAGCTTTTTCTTTTCATTTGAAGTAGTATTTATACCCAAGTTTGTCTACCTTGGACAAGGGCTGCAGGAATTGCAAGGGCTTGAGGCCCTTGTTAACAAACGGGCCATTGCCTTTGACAATACTGTGCCCCATGTTGTAGAGGAAGAGAGACATATGTCTTCTGTGATCCAAAAAGAACCCAAAGTACATTTTTTGGAGGATAAGGACGTTGATTTTTCTACTCTTCACTCCAAGCAAAATCGTCCCCCATTTTCAGTTCCTGCTCAGTTACGGCTGGCTGGATGGGATGGATTGAACCCCTACCACATATTACGGTGCTTCTTTGGTAAAGGGCGGCAATGGCCCTTTGCTCCTGATGGCTATATTCCCAACTCAGTGGTCCGTGCCCGCCTTTGGCCTGAGGGTACCCCAATCTTCCTACTCTGTGATCTGTACCCACCCTACAGAAATAAGGACTGGGACGGGATTGAACTTTTCAGATGCCAGGCATGGTCACCTATGACTCTAGTAAAAGAGAAAATCTCAAGTAGTAAACAGGATAAATCCAAGAAGAGAAAACAGAGTTTATTTGATGTTCTTGTAAGCATGCCAAACTTAAATTGGATAGGAAGAAAATTTGATGAAGGACTTATAAATAATTTCATTGAGACCACCCTCAACCACACAATTTACTGTTCTGTAGAGCAATACGAGACATATACTAGTATCCTGGCACAAATTTTTGCCACTTATCAAGTATCTTCAAGTCTGTACTCTGAGACTGCCTGTCGCCTCCTGGAAGATACAACCCATCCCAATCCACGGATCCGCGAGCTAGCCTGGGAGGGTCTAGAGAGGTTAGGCTTCATGAGCCCTCTCTTTGCTATTCCACTGGCTATGGGATTGATGGACAGCAATGAAAATGTGAGGGCTAAGGCCTTACAACTTATGATAAGAGCCACAGGCATCCAAACTAAGACCATGCTGGTAAACCTGCTGAAGAAACGAGAAACTTTCCAGGACATGCAGTAAGTTGGGTGGTGGCCTTTCCTCATTCTGTTCCTTCTTGCTGCTAAGCTCTAGAATCTGATTTGTTTCACCTTTTCCACAACTCTTTTTCTATTCTTTCCCTCTCCCTGTATTCTTGGTTTCTATTTGCTTTTCTGCCCAGTGCCCACAACTTTTTTTCCTGACCATTGACTAGCTTACTCTTTCATCATTTCCACACTTCAGATTACTCAAGACTGCCCTGGCCTGGTAACTCATTTGGTTGGAGTGTCATCCTGATATGCCAAGGTTGCAGGTTCAATCTCCAGTCAGGGCACATACAGGAATCAACCAATAAATGCATAAATAAGTGGAACAACAAATTCATATTTCTCTTCCTCTTCCTCTCTCTACAATCAGTAAATACAAGTTTTTTAAAAAACATTTTATTTTCTGGAGTTTTGGAGTTTATAGTTGTCCCATTTTTCTTTCCCCTTTATTCCCCTCTGCCTTGTAACCCCCCTCCCACCAGCATTTCCCCACCTTAGTTCTTGTCCATGTGTCATACATATAAGTTCTTTGGCTTCTCCCATATTCTATTCTTAACGTCCTCCTCTCTGTTTTGTACCTACCATTAATGTTCCTTATACTCTGTATCTTTTCCTTCATTCTCCCCGCTCCCCTTCCTGGCTGATAACCCTCCATGTGATCTCCATTTCTGTGAATCTGTTCCTGTTCTAGTTGTTGGGTTAGTTTGTTTTTGTTTTTGTTTTAGGTTCAGTTGTTGATAGTTGTGAGTTTGTTATCATTTACTATTTATATTTTTTATCTATTTCTTAGATAAGTCCCTTTAACATCTCATAAAATAAGGGCTTGGTGATGATGAACTCCTTTAACTTGACCTTATTTGCAAAGCACTTTATCTGCCCTTCCATTCTAAATGAAAGCTTTGCTGGATGGAGCAATCTTGGATGTAAGTCCCTGCCTTTCATGACTTGGAATACTTCTTTCCAGTTCCTTCATGCCTGCAGGGTTTCTTTTGAGGAATTAGCTGATAGTGTTATGGGAACTTCCTTGTAGGAACCAATCTCCTTTTCTCTTGCTGCTTTTAAGATTCTCTCCTTATCTTTCATCTTGGCTAATGTAATTATGACGCGCCTTGGTGTGTGCTTACTTGAGTCCAACTTCTTGGGAGTCTCTGAGCTTCCTAGACTTCCTGGAAGCCTATTTCCTTTGCCAGGCTGGAGAAGTTCTCCATTATTTTTTCAAATAGGTTTTCAGTTTCTTGTTCATCCTCTTCTCCTTCTGGCATCCTTTTATGATTTGGATGTTGGAATGTTTAAAGTTGTCCCAGAGGTTCCTAAGCCTCTCCTCGATTTTTTGAATTCTTGTTTCTTCATTCTGTTCTGATGGAATGTTTATTTCTTCCTTCTGGTCTAAATTGGTGATTTGAGTCCTGGTTTTACTGCTCTTCACTGTTGGTTCCCTGTGCATTCTCTTTTATTTCACTTTTCATAGCCTTTGGGTTTTTTTTTTTCTATTTTGCGACCATACTCAGCCATTTGTGTGAGCATCCTGATTACCAGTGTTTTGAACTGTGCATCTGATAGCTTGGCTATCTCTTCATCACTTAGTTGTAATTTTTCTGGAGTTTTGGTCTGTTCTTTCATTTGGACCACATTTTTTTGTCCTGGTACATCTGTTACAGAGTCTTGGGTAACCAGGATGGGGCAATCCATGTCACAGAGTTGTGGCACCGTATGTAGGGGAGGGGACCGAGAGGGGACAATGCTATTTGCTCCATTCTTGGCCAGCTTTCAGTCACTTCCTCCATTACCCATAAGCAAATTGGGCCCTTCTGGTGCTGATCCCAGGCAGATGGTTTTGTGTACATCCTAGAACCCTTTGAGTCTCTCCAATGAATTCTTCTGTGGGACTGGGAGTTTCTCCTGCCACCTCACCCCCTACAGTTTTGTTTTTTTTTTTTGTCAGAGGTTTTGAGTCATTCTTTTCCCACACTGGAACCGTGGGTTGCATGGTCTGTCTCACTCCCCAGTTGTTCCTCCCGGTTTATCCACATGAATGTGGGAGTGCACACTCTGCCAACCGCTCCATCACCTGGTCTGCCAGCCACTGCCTTCCTGTGAGTTGTCTCTGCCCCTCCTATCAATTCAGATGAATGTTTCTTCTTTAACTCCTTGGTTGTTGGACTTCCATACAATTTAATTTTCTGGCAGTTGGGGTTATATATATTTTTTAATTTAATTATTTTTTCAAGTACAGTTTTCTGTCTTTTACTCCCATCCCAGCCCACCTGCCTCCGTGCTCCCCAGTTCTGGTTATTTTTGTTTTTAAATTTGTTGTCCTTTTGATTGTATGAGGAGGCAAAGCGTATCTATGCCTCCATCTTGGCTGGAAGTCCCCCAATAAATATTTTTTTAAAAGATCCAATTTCCAGCTCTTATTACCCAAATAGAAGACAAATTGAGTTTTAAATAAAGATTACTCCAAACTCAGGTTCACAAGTCTCCCAACCAAAAAAGCATCTTGTGTTACCCTATTCCTTGCTGGCCTTGATTCATCTTTATCTGTCCTTTACTTCAGACTACTCTGTCTTAAATATCTATTTTATCCTTGCCTCTTCTATTATAGTTTCCCTTTCTCTGTCTCTTCTTCCCCCCCTTCTCCCCCCTCCTCCTTTTTCTGTTTTATATCTGACTCAGTGTTATCTTTCTTTTCCCTTGACTTCTTTAGGCAGGAATTTATTGGAGAAACCTCTCTGGACCAGCTTCTGGGGATTCAAGCTAGAGATATCCGGTACCTACTTAGTCAGGTGGAGCAGCAACTGAATGAAAATCTGATGTTGTCACGTAGAGACCAACAATTTACATTTTCTCCTGATATGTCAAAGGCTGGTGAACTTGAGGCCCTTGCTGAACAAACACTCACACTTTTGTCAAAACCTGAAAAGCTCACCACACTGAAGAAAAGAATGGCATATGTTCAATCAAAGAGCAGAAATCTTAGTATGTATTGGGTAATGGGGTAATATATTGGACATATTTGGGTTTCGTATCGGGACATCAAAAGGCAGAGTCAATAAGAACAAGGTATATAAAAAGATACCAGTGGGAACAGAGTTAGGTAAGGAGACACTTTTTCACAGAAAGTAGCCTTCTTGGGAAAGATCTACCCCACAACAATTACCAAGAAGGTCTTGTTTATGTAGGATATGGAAGCTGGCATAAAACAGCACACATTTCTGTACTGTAAAGCCTCAGTCCCTTTGCCTTTGTATCTTTTATGGCAATTCATTGAACTAGGTATTACAAAGGATCTCACTCAGGACATCTGTGGTTTTCTTAACTATTTTCTCCCAATATCTCTGCAGTTGAAAAGGACCTGAAAGTTTCCAGGAAGCAGAAACAGACAGAATTGGTAAAGTCTAGCTCTGTGCTGGTGCCTTCAAAGGATGAAGGTGAACAAACAGAGGCTATGAGACCAGAGCAAATTGATACCCAGGATGCTGCCATAGAGCCAGAGCTGCCATTAAGAGCTTTCAGCCCAGTCAAATCCCAAGAGGATGCTGAATCAAAGGAGATTACATTGGACATTATGGAAGCTATGGGAGCCATAGAAGTCATGGAAGCCACAGAAGCCACGGGTGTCAGAGAGGCAATGGAGGCCACAGTGGTCGTGGAGGCCATGGATCAACCTCGCGTGAAAGATTATGAAGAGATGACTCCTAAGCCGGAAAGACAAAAACACATGAAAAGGCTTTGGAAAAGGGCAATGAAAAAAAGCCGTGATAAAGCAGATGTGAAGTTGAAAGAGAAAAAAGATTTGAAAGGTATTTCAGAGATAACTGCAGAAGAACCCAAGGAAGAAGTCATAGAGATAACTGTACAAGAAAATGATACAGAAAAGAAACTTGAAAAGAGTGGCCGTGGTTTGGCTGGGACCCCTGGACGCATAGGTAGATCAGACACCAGGTGTTGGCGGGATGACATTTGCTCTCTTGCCACCTCAAGAATAGCAAGTTCCCATCCAGGAATGGTCAGGGATCTAAGTCAAGAATTGGTGGATTTGGCTCAGGCAGTGCTTGCTCCCCGACAGCCCAGCTGGAATATCTTCCAAGAGATTTGTCCCCTTTTAAAGAGCTCATCAGAATTGCATCACAAAGTGGTGGAAGAACAACCTATTATAACAGAAAAAGTGGTTGAAGAGGTTGTCAAGGAAGAAGGAACAATAGAACCAAGAGAACAAGGAGGCAAAAAAGTAGTAAAGAAGGGCAAGGCATTTTCTCAAGTCAAGAAAAAGAAGATTGCTTTCTTAAAAGATCACCTCGTCTTGGAGAAAAGTAAATTTGAAAAAGAAGTAAGGAAACTGGACAGGCAAGATGGGAAAATAGCTGAGGAAGAAAAGAAACTGAGTAAGCCAGAGAAGAAATTCATGCAGGAAAAGGAGAAATTCACCAAAGATAAGGAGAAGCTGACCCATGAAAAAGAAAAAATAGCTTTGGAAGAAGAAACACTGGCTTCTTCACAAAAGAAATTAACCAGGGAAGAACAGAAGTTAGTGCTAGGAGAAAAGAAACAGACTGGAAAAATAGGGAAACTACTAGGGGCAAGAAAGAATGTGACCTGGAAAAAGGGGGAAGCAACACCAGGAAGGAAGAAGTGGGATTGGGAGGAGAATGTGCTGGCTCAGGAAGAAGGCGTGTGGACCCAGGAAGAGAGGTTACTTATCTGGGAAGAGAGGAAGTTGTCCCAGGAAGAGGAGAAGGCAGATGAGGGAGAGGAGGAGCCAAGTGTGTATAAGAAGCTAGGTGAGGAAGAGAAGCCAGGTGAGGAAGGGGAGGAGGAGCTGATCAAGGGTGAGGAAGAGCTGGATGAGGAAGAGAAGCCAGGTGAGGAAGAGGAGGAGGAGCTGATCAAGGGTGAGGAGGAGCTGGACGAGGAAGAGAAACCAGGTGAGGAAGAGGAGGAGGAGCTGATCAAGGGTGAGGAGGAGCTGGACGAGGAAGAGAAGCCAGGTGAGGAAGAGGAGGAGGAGCTGATCAAGGGTGAGGAGGAGCTGGGTGAAGAGGAGAAGCAAGGTGCAGGTGAGGGGGAGGAGGAGCTGGCCTGGAACGAGGAGCAACTAATCCTGTACCTAGAGAAACAAGCTGAGGAAAGAAAGAAAAAGCACCACAAAAAGAAGAAACACATCCTGGGTGTAAAGAAACATGTTAAGGAAGAGGCCTGGAAGAAGGGAAAATCGGCCCAGAAAGAGGAACATTTGTTTAGTAAAGAGGAAGGGCTTTCTGGGGAATTGGGAGAATGGACATTAAGAAAGGAAAGTTTGGAAGAGCAAGAGATTCCATTGACACAAGAAAAAAAGGAGTGGTTTGTAAAGGAGATAAAAGAGGCCCATAAAAAAAAACAAATTCAAGAAAAGGAAAAACAAATTGAAAAACAGGAGAAAGACCAGCAAGAGAGGAAGGCCAAGAAAGATGAGAAAGAGGCAAAGGACAAAAAATTAGTCTGGAAAAGAAAGAAACTGGGTCTAGGAGAGGAAAAGTTTGAGGAATTGTCACAAGAAGATAAACAGACCCAGAAAAAGGAGAAAAGGGCTTGGGAAAAGGAGAGAAGGGCTCAGGAGGAGGAGGAAACAGTAAAACAGAGACAACAGGCCTGGGGGAAAAAGAAAGTGGACCTAAGAGAGGAGGAACAGGCTAGGGAAATGGAAAAATGGTCACAGAAAGAAAAGAAACAGGTCCAGGCAAAACACAGACAGGATCAGAAAGAGGAGAAATTGGGTGGAAAAGTGGAGAAAGAGGCTGTTGAAAAAACCCTACAGGACACAGAAGAAGTAAAACCTGTCCCGGGAGAGGAGAAAATGATGAAGGAAACTGGGAAAGTGTCCCCAGAAGAAGAGAAACAAGTCATGAAAAAAGAGAAAGAAGCTAAGATAAAGGAGAAATGGATTGGGAAAGATAAGAAAACCACTGAGAAAAAAAAACAATGGTCCCTTGAAAAAGGACAGGCCCAGAAGGAGAGAATATGGGGTCAAATAAAGGAAAAAGATAGTGAGAAGAAAGAAGAATGGACTTGGGAAAAAGAGAAATTGTCCCTAGAAGAGGAAGAACAAGTTGATGAAAAGGAGAAAAAATCCCAGGAAGAAGAGGAAAGGGAATTGGAGAAAAGACTTACCAAGAAAGACAGTAAACTGGCTAAGGAAGAGAGACATATTTCTAAGAAAGAAAAGGAAAAACCCAGGGAGGGAACTGGCATAACTAAGAGAAAGAAAGAAATAACCCAAGAAGAGAAAAAACTTATGAAAAAAGAAGCTAAATTGTCCCAGGAAGAGAGGCAATTGACATATGACAGGACCAAGGAGACGGGTGTTGCCAAGAGAAAAAAGGAAAGAACCAAAGAGGAAAGAACAGAGGCAACAAGGAAACTGGTTATGGAAAGGAAGGTTAGTTCTGCAGGAAAAGAAGCTAGTTTCAAGGGAAAAGATTTAAGGAAGAATGAGAGTCACTTGTTGAGGCTCCTGGCTAAAACTATTAGAGAAATTAGTACAGTGCCATTGGGAGAAATAAAAATACCTGAGGAAGAGAGATCATCCATTGTGGGAAGGAGTGAAATTGATGGGCAGAGATGGGAAAGTCTTAGGGAACAGGAGGAAATAACCGAAGAAGAGAAGGAGCTGGATCAGAAAGAGAGAACAGTAGAAGGTAATAGACTGCCCACAAAAGAGAGGACATTGACTGATGAAGACAGCTTGGAGGAGGACCGAAAGCTATTAAACAGAGCCCAGGAAACAGTATCATTAGATAAAATTCAAGTAGAGAGTATATTAAAGGAGATCCAGAAGCAAAATATATTAGGAAAAAGACAGCTAAAGAAACTTCAGAAGAAAATTAAGAATAAGCCAGAAAAGATCCCAGTAAAGTGGTTATTAGGGATTATCAAAGATATACTGTTTGAGGGCTTATCTGAGAGCTTGACTGAGAAGGAAATAGAAGAAGCTCCAACTGAGAAGGGGAAAGAGGAGGAGAGCCTGAGCAAGGAGGAGGAGGGGAGCCTGAGTGAGAGGAAGGAAGAGGAGGAGGAGACCCTAGAGGAGGGGAAGGAGAGCCTGAGTGAGAGGAAGGAGGAGGAAGAGGAGACCCTGGAGGAGGGGAAGGAGAGCCTGAGTGAGAGGAAGGAGGAGGAAGAGGAGACCCTGGAGGAGGGGAAGGAGAGCGTGATTAAGGAGGAGAAGGAGAGCCTGGAGGAAGAGGAGGAGAAGGAGGAGGAGGAGGAAAGCCTGGAGGAGGAGGAGGAGAACCTGGAGGAGGAGGAGGAGAACCTGGAGGAGGAGGAGGAGGAGGAGAGCCTGGAGGAAGAGGAGAGCCTGGAGGAGGAGGAGGAGAAGGAGGAGGAGGAGGAAAGCCTGGAGGAGGAGGAGGAGGAGGAGAGCCTGGAAGAGGAGGAGGAGGAGGAGGAAAGCCTGGAAGAGGAGGAGGAGGAGGAGGAAAGCCTGGAAGAGGAGGAGGAGGAGAGCCTGGAGGAGGAGAAAGAGAGCCTGAGCGAGGAGGAGAGCTCAAGTGAAAAGGAAGAGGAAGAAATAGAGAAGGTTGAGAAAAAAGAGGAGGAGGGGGAGGAAAAGAAGGAAAGGCAGAAGGATGAGGGCAGCTTGAGTCAAGAAAAGCAAGAGGAGAGCATGCTCTCACAAGAGGAGAGGGTACTGAAAACAGAGCTCTCAAAGGAAGGAGTGAGTTTCTCACAACTAGTGAAAGAAGGTGTGATTCTTGCTGAGGAAAGGGAGGGTACAGCTAGAAGTGAAGTGCCTTTTAAGAAAGAAAGATTACTTGATGGTAAGAGAGATCCCACATTTATGGATAAGCCTATTTGGCCAACAGATCTAAAGAGCCCCTTCAAAATACCACTCCCGGTAGCCCTAGGGAAAAAAGAGGGCATGCCCCCCCAAATATTAGGGGATCGTTTGGATTTGGAAAAACAAGAAAGTCAACTTGGCACATACCCCACGACAAGTTCATGGAGAAAACAGGAGAATGTGCTCTTGGAGAAATCCAGGGGTGTATTTTTACCAGCCGTGGAAATAGGCTTAGAGACCCAGATCCCGGAAGGCCTCCACAGGCCAGGGTTCCCCTTACCTGATCTTACCATGAAACCACAGAAACCTAAACGTAGATCCAAAGGTGGCAAGTGGGAGTGGTTCTTGAAATATTGGGATTCCTCAGAGGGGAAAACTGAGGGTCAGGGCCCAGCTCCAGCCCCAGCCCTATCCTTTTTGTCTATGCCAGCCAAAAGGCCAGGCTACTTAGAAGCAGGCTTCTCAGATGAGGACTGGGTTAATAATGCATTAATAAGGCTGAAATCAGGAGAGAAACTTACCAGGGACAATTTCCATAGACTGAGCCAACTCCTCAGAGACTTCACATCAAAGGAATATTTGAAAAGGATGAATCTGTCCGATCTTAAAGCAATTGTTAAACACTTCAGGCAAATCCTAGAAGTAAGTAACACAGATAGACCACGACCCTATAAGGATGTTTTGAGCCCACTGCACCTAAAAGCCATTCCTCCAGCTAGAGGAAAAGAAAAAGAGAGCTGTCTAGAGCCATTCCCTATCTGTGAAGCAGTGCTACCATCAGCTACTAGGACTCAAACCCCACAAGCTCTCAAATGGCATCTCTTAGCTGAGCCCTACAGGAAGAAGCAGGCACAACAGTTATCCACTGCTGCCAAGGGGATAAAGCACATTTATCCAATCAGAAGGGATAAAAAATCCTTGGCCTTGATATTCCAAGAGGACTTCTGGGCCTCTAGGGAGAGGGATGAGCCCCCCAAATTTCACAAGGCAAAGAAGAAATTACTGCCCATCCCTGCACCAGAATTACCACCAACTACTAAGATGATTCGAGTCCCAACGACTATAGATTGGCACCTTCTAGGAGAGCCTTATAGGAGCGTGCGGGTACAGCAATTATCCAGTGCTCTCAAAGAGATGGAAATGAGACACTTTTTTCCTGCCCCAAGAGAAATTTTCACAGGTGCCCATGCCTCTGTGGATAAACAAACCCTAGCACTGATGTTTCAGAAAGATCTCAGGGCCTTTAAGGGTAAAGGCAGGCTCCCCAAGTTGCCCCAGTTGGAGAAGAAGGCAAAGCCTGACCCCAAAGAAAAGGAAGAGGTGCCTCTATGGGAGACATTTGTAGCACTGTACCATGTTTTGCAGATGTTGCAGGAGCGATATGCAGATGATAGTGCTGCTTGGATGGAACAGTTCTACCAGCTCATGGACCTGTACCAGGTTAAGTCCCCCGGAATCCAGAGGCTTCTACTAGAGTTGCTGCAGAGGAAGGAACTCCAACCCCAAGAGACCATCTACAAAAAGTCCCTGAAAACCAAGGAGCTGGCACTTGGTGAACGATTACTCTGTGGCCTGTTTTGTGGTAGTTCCCATGCTCCTGCAGGTCCCATCAAGTTCCAAGATGTTGTACCCCTATCTGGGCAGAACAAGGTGCATAGTTTCCAACCTGTGGGCATTGCTCATTATGGGTTCCTAGAACTTGCCTGGAAAAGCTTGCCTCAATGCAATCCTTACCTTACTAGGAAGCTGCCCACCATCCATACTCCCAATCTCTAATTTGGCCTAAGGTTAGTACTTTGGGGTCTTACTAGAAAATGAGCTTGGGTCACAGATTTTTAGTCTCCTTACTTGTTCCCCAGTCCAAGGTGGGTGGAGCTTATCTTCATTTTGGTCCAGAAACCTGCTTCTCTGTACTGAATAAAGTGACATTTACCATTTGAAACAAATATTGTGACATTTCTCTTCTCAAGCCTGGAAGTAGCCAGAGAAAATAGATGACCTTTTTCCTAAGGGGGACAATTTTTTCAGGCAGTGGACTATATCATTTGTCACCATTTCATGGAAAAGTCAGACCTGGCTCTCAAAGTTTTGGGCTATTATTTTCTTTTCTCAAAGGATCTTGGAGGGATAGCGTCTCACATAGGTGGACATTTATTTATTTAGCATTAATGCCTTAATATGAGAAAAACACAATTTTTCCCCTTTATGAACTTTGAACTAGACTAAAGTTCCTGGACATCTCTATGCCTCAGTGTTCTCATTGACATAATAGGGCTATGGAATGGAACAATGGTTAAGAATGGCAACTTGGAATTCAGAACTCTCATTCTCATTCCAGTACTTGCTCTGCCACTTATTAGTTCTTTAATCTTAGTTTTTGGTTTCCTTAAGATGGTGTTCATAATGCCTGCCTTAGTGAAATGCTTAACAGTTCTGAACGTAGTTTTCTCTCTGATGGATAGCAATTTTCATGGGAGATGTGTATGAATGAACATGTGGATTTTAGATTCAAACCAGGATCTGAATCCCTTCCTTTCAATGTAACTGTAGTCTTGAGTCAGAGATTCCACCTCTCTAAGCCTGTTTTTTTTTTTTTTTTTAAATTTATCTTTAGAGGGGAAGGGAAAGAGAGAGGAGGAGAAACATCAATGTATGGTTGCCTTTCGTGCGCCCCCTGCTGGGAACTGGCCTGCAGGGAACCAGCCTGCAACCCAGGCATGTGCCCTGACTGGGAATCGAACCGCGATTGTCTGGTTCGCAGGCCCGCGCTCAATCCACTGAGCTACACCAGCCAGGTTCTAAGCCTGTTTTATCATGTACAAAATGAGGCTCACTGTGAGGCTCAAATGACACTCTGGCTATGCCCATGTTAGTGTTCTGGGGACATAGGAGAGGAACTGAAAACTAGAGGAGGGGCCTGAGACCTCAAGGGAGTTTAGGGGCCCCTTGAGATAGGGTCTAGAACTCAGGGAGAAAGCCTCCAAGAGTCGGGGAGGAGCTAGAACACGAAGATGTTCAAAAGTCCAGGGGGAGATCTTGGGCAGAAGAGTCCTGAGGGAGGGGAGAGGCTCTAAAACTTGGGAACCCAGGAGATCAGAAGATTGGGAGTACTGCAAAGAAACCCTGGGGCAGAAGTTGGATCTCAAGAGGTCTTGTAATCAACCCATCGCTTCTACCAGGTGAGTAGTTTTATTTGTTTATTCCTAGTTTGGTATTTCTATACCTTACACCAAAATTAAACTCCACTAAAATCCAGTGAAGGAAGACTTATAATTTGTGATATGGGGAATACATTTTTTCCATCTTAGCACCTATCCTTATGTAGGGCTGTTAACTCCAATTCTCTGTCTGAATCACTCATTCCTAAGACTATCATGTTACAAACATTAAAAATGTAAACTATTTTATTTCTGTTCAGTTATTTATTGCTATATAACACATCACCCCAAAATGAGCAAGTTACAAAAACATACATTTATTATGTCACAATTTTCTTTGTTCAGAAGTGTGTATGTGGCTTAGCAAGGTTCTCTGCTTGGTTACACAAGGCTGCAGTCGGGACCGGCTGGGCTTGTTCCTTTCTGGAGCTCAGGGTCCTCTTTCAAGTTCTTGTTGGCAGAATTCAGCTCCTATAGGACTGAGGTTTCCTGTGTCCTTGCTGGTTGTCACCTGGGGACTGCTCTCAGCTCCTAGAGGCTGCCCACAGCTTCTGCCCACAGCTTCTGCCCCACAGCTTCTGGAAGAGGACTCTTCCAGGTCCTCTTACAACATGGCAGCTTATTTTTTTTCCCAAGGCCAGCAGCATATTTTATCACTCTAATCTGCAAAGATGCAGTTTGTTTTTAAAAATGAAGTAATGCAATAATGGGACTGTCTCATCACCTTTGCCGTATTCCATTGGCTAGAAACAAGTCACAAGTTCTGTTTGTACTCAAGGGGAGAGCATTATATAAGAAAGTGACTCATTTGAGGTTAATTTAAGTTGTCCATCACAATTCTTAGTATCTGAAGACCTCCTAGGTTAATCACGGCATATGCTCCTTACTGATTTCTCTTTCTCTCTCCATTCCCTAGGTTTTCCATCAAGATTTTTGTGAACTCAGCTATGCATTTAAAAGGATGTCTCCTATATTGTGTTCATTACTAATAGATGTTTTGTAGAAAAAATTCTATCAGCTTATCAAGTCTGCTCTATTGCCTGTAAAACAAATCCATGTATTCCTTAACATTAGGTTCAATACCAACTTGTACAACCTTCCCTTTCCTGTGCTGTTAGTCACTATCTACTCAGCTTCTTGAAGGCATCTGTTAAATTTGTTTCTAAAAGCACGGGGCGGGGGGGGGGATCAGCAAAAGCAGACAGAAGGGGGGAACAAAATGAGGATGGAGGGAAATCGAAGCTTACAGACTAAGTATGAGAGGGACTGACTAAAACCAGGTAAAGCATGGCCCGAACATGCAGGGAAATGAATGTATAACAAAGCTGGTAGAAAATGCAAGGGGATACTTTTTCCTTCAGGCCCATGAAGAACTGCCATTAATATTATCTACAGAGAGCTAAGGGCAAAAATCATTCTACTTGAAACACCAAGGAGGTAAATCCAGTCTCTTGTTCAGTGAGATTAAATTCTGCCCAGGGAAGATAAAAAACCTCCTGGTCCTGTCACCAAATGGGGACCTGGCCCAAAGCAGGTCTGCCTAGGGCTGGCTGGCGGTGTGTGGGTTCTTGACTCTGTACAGGAAGG